CAAATATCTATATTTCTTCGTAAAAGTATTTAATAAAAGCGAAGAAAAACAAGAAACTTAAAAAAAAAAGAAAAGATTATAATATTTAAAAATACCACACAAAAGATATATATATATATCCATTTTACCAACTCTCCATTCTATCACAGATTTTTGCTCAATAATGATAATAAGTTCTTATCGATTTAAACCTTATCGATACAATTACTCGAAAAAAAAAACGAATCTCGCCAGATTATCAAGGCTGAACAACAAGGGACGCGGAAATTCCCTGAGCCGGATCTCTGAGAAGGATTTCGAGGGGTTGGTTCGGTCGAATTTTATTTTCGAAGGGAGCTTTGCCGAGTTTTCGTCGTTTCCGCGGCTGACCGCAAACGGTCTTGCAGAGGCTTACGAGCAAACACGAATCTCTTGAGCCGAAGTACTTTCACTGCAGCTGTCCAAGTTCCCTCTGTTGCTCCACAACCCTCTCCCCTCTCTTCAACGAGCAAATTTCCATCCGGTGTTCCGGATTACAATTTAAATCGTTTGCGGTTTTTGGTATCTCTTGAAACGGGAGAGAGAAGGGGGGCAGAGTTGTTCCGAGTAATTGCCACTACTGTTTATATTTAATCGGTTATTTTCGGCTCGTTTGTGCAATGGAATTTGGAATTTGAAATTTTCGAAATGAATTTCCGAACGTAAACGTTCAAAATAGATCTTGGGATGAGAGTTTTGTTTGTTTGTCTCGTTCCTTTCCCGTTCAATCAATTCGATATTTCGAAATTGAATATTTCGAATATTTTCAATGAAATTGTTTTATTCCGAAATAATTACGGATAATGAAAAATTGAGTTGCGATAAAACGAAAGAAAAATTAATTTTCTACAAATTTGTCACATTCATATTAATGATTGAAACAAGTCATCGACACTTGCGTTGAAGTAATAATAATGGATAGTTGTTTTCTTTAAAATAAAAATAATATTATCGTAGTATCTATCAGTTAAAATCAGTGTCAAATTCACGATGTCAAATTTGTGAAATTGACGAATAAAAAACGCAAGTATATGACGCGTCTGACTATATCGGTATAGGCATCCGTTACGCAGCAACTCAACTTCCTTTCTGTCTTGTTTCTCGCCCTTCCGGTTCACGAGGTGGAAAGCACGGGGCTTGTTGCCGCACCGAACGCTCCATGTTGCCATTGTGTTAATATTTGAGGAAGCAAGCTTGACGCTGCTTGTGCTTGTTGATGGATGGCTCTTTATCTCTCCCTTACCCGTTCGATCAAATTAATCACGTACAAGACGAATTGCAGGCCCGACGAAGAATCATCAACAACCTCATCCTCACCTTTACTCTTCACTTCCTATTTTGAAGTTTTTAAAAATCGAATATTATTTTATCGCACGATGGAATTTTAATCGTTTCTCTCCACGTCAATGAAAATGAAAATGTTCCAGGGGGAAAAATTTTATTCTGTAGATAGATATTTTATTTTAAAATTTCGAGCTGGAGAGAGATGAGAAGAATAAAGATGAAATAAGAAAGAAATGACGAAATTCTTTTAAGAATACATTTGTTAGAGAGGATTTTAATTGATTGAAAAAAATTGATGAAGAGAAGAGAAACGAGAAAAATATGAAATGTAAAATTGTGTTATTTGTATTATTTAAAAACCTCAAAAACTAATAAAAAATAACATAAAAGAGCATAAAATCACAAAATAAAAAAAAGATAATAATCCAATAAAATTTCAAAAATCAAGAAATCAACAAAGTAACATCTTTTACACTCTAAAAAAAAAAAAAAAAAAAA